TGCTGAAGTCAGTGGTGAAGCAGCTCTTCATTTTCCAGGTTTGTTCAAACTTCCTACTTTGTTCATTTGGGGTTTTAAGGAAAGACATCATCTTTCCCCAGTTCCTTTCAGAGAGAAATGAAAGGGCTATGAGTATCTCAGTGCTTCAAAAATACTTAAAGGAAGGGTTTTACCCTCCTATTCCTTCTCTTTCCTGTTCAGCCTACCAGTCTGGCACTGAATGTCCTGAGAAATGAACTGCTCCAAGCGGTGGGAGTGCTTCGGCAAACACCCACGGTTTCTTTCACCTCTTTGGGCAAGTAGTTGCAGTCTCCTGGCATGCGTCTTCATGAACTATGATCTACCACAAGCTAGAGCTAGAGGGGAGCCAAGGAAAAAAAATACTAAATCTAGGAAATAGGGAGCTGGTATGGCTCAGGAACCAACCTGCTGCAGGCCTTCAGGGGCTTGAGTCATCTGTCCGGTGGCCGCTGTGTGGGTGGGATTTGGGGACACACATTTTTCTGAGCATGTTGCTGCCAGTGTAAAGATCAATTTTATTTGGGTTTTTTTAAATTAACAAAAATGAAGTTTGGGATTTTTGCATTTAATGCCGATTTTTTTTTTTTCTCTATTCACTTACTGCTTGTTCTGGAGTGTTTGCTCCCGAGTGGGAGAAGGGCTGCTGGGAATGTGTATATTCTAAGTTAGATCTGTTGTGTGAGCTGACATGCCTTTTTAAGAAGTTACCTGGTAATGAAGCCATCAGTGCTGCACTCAGATCCAAATCCTGCTCCCTTCGCATTCAGCGGGAGCTTTGTCTTTGCTCCTTAGTCAAAGCAGGATTTAGCGCACGCCAGCAATGGCACGTTCATCACAGCATGTTGGTTCTTTGACAGAAAGGTTTTCTTTGTTAGTGGGCTGACTGGGGCTTCGTAAACTAGGAAGAAAGCAAACCCAATCTGTGCACAGTGAAGTCACTGAGGAAATGGTTTGGGCTGTCCTTGGGTTTCCCGTCTCGCTACCTGACCAGGAGGGCTCTCGGGCAAAACTGGTGGCACCGCAAATGCTCCAGTCAGATCTGTACCGTGGGATTTGCCCAGGGAACAGGCTTCCCTCTCACAGTTGCAAATACTTACATTGAACACCCACTTCCAAGACTTTTTCACTCTGAGAGTGGAAGCAAATACTGAAAACGAGCAGGTCGCTCGCACAGCTGCTCCTGCGGCAGAGCTGGTGGGAGCTCGGCAGGCCCTGGGGAGGAGAGCCTTGCTTTCCTTTAGTTTATCAAATAATCACCACTGTCCTGTGCTGTAACTTCTGCCAAAGTTTAGACTTCATATTTTATGTACCTCTCTATAAATGACTATTGTGTAATGCAGTAATACGCTGCTTGCTGTGGCAGGAGGAGGGCTGGGCCGGGGGCAGAGCAGCAGCCCAGGCC